AAGGGTATTTTGGTCAAAATCAAGAAAAATTGGATAAATGAACTAAAAAGTCATCATTTTTTTATTTTTAAATTTGATTAGCTGTCTATAGTGTTTTATCATATCACAACATAGCTATGGATTTGATATTTGTTGTTACATTTGTTTGATTTAATGCCTTAATCTGGTGTTTTTTTTTTTTTTTTTTTCTTAGATTTTTTTTCAATCTTTTTTTTATGTTTCACGTTTTGGTGATGGGTCAATTTAAAGTCTAGAAAATGAAGAAGTGAACATGTTTTGTTGTTGATTTATAGAAAAGAAGTGAATGTGTTGTTTGTGTTTCAAGTGCAGATGGTAAATATTTTTATTTGTGCTGTATTTTAGAATGGCAAATGCATTTTGGTTTTCGAATGTCTTTTTATAAATGAAAAAGGATAAATGTTGCACAAGATAGATATTGATTTATTGCAATATTCATGTTTTTGGGTTAATGTTTAGTTGTATAAGGATATTATTGAGATGTAAATGCATTTTCTTACATTGATTATATCTCTAAATGGTTTGAATACATGTAAATGTTTGTATGGGTTGGTTTTCTTTTTTGTTCCGTCTTTTGTATATATAAACTCCAATTAAAAATGTTCAAGACTAAAAGTGAACACTAAAAATGTTCAAGACATTCGTTTAAACAAAAAACCCAACAACCAACTAATAATTAATTTTTTAAGTATTCTATAATTGAAAAACACCTCCTCAATATTGTTGGATCTTTTTACGACTTCAACATATAATTCATTAAAGATAATTTTTCAAGATATCATATAAAATTGTTGCTATTATACTTTCTACCATAAAAAGAGATTGCCAATGTAGGTAATTTTAAGGGTGCGTGATTTAGTGTTGGAAAATGAGATTTGTTGGTTAAAAAAAAGGTTGTATCAATATTTTCATTATAATATGGATGATTGTTTTTCCATCACAAGTATAATATTTAAATATTTGTGTTATGATAATATGATTATTTTAGATTTTTTTTATAATTAATCATATAACGATTAAATAGGCTGGTATGTTTGCTTTTCATATTTATTTAAATATTAAAAAACAATTAGAGAAGTTTTATTTTATTTATTTTTATTTTATTTTATAAATCAATACACACAAACCTTTTATTCTATTATTAAAATATGTGTGTTGTAGTTTAAAATAATGAAAATAAATAAAATAAGACTTTTTAATCACCAAAATAAAATTTATAAAAGAGTGTATGTCATATGATAAAATATATTTATTGATGCATTGCATATTTTTTTAAATAAGACACTTCGTGAAAGAAAAAAAAAATTAACCATCCGTCCAACGAAACCAATCACCAAAGAAAACTACTCCCCATAATCGATATTCTCACATGACAAACTTTATGTGGTGTTGTCCAAAGGAGTATCACGGATCAATACCAATGTATTAGTAAAGCCGGGAAAAACGTTTGACAATTATGGAATCTACACATCAAACATTGTGTACAAAAAAGTTTTGTGTGGTTAACAAGGTACAATCAAAAACCTATTATTTTACATTTTGTTCAAATATGTATCTTATATACTCATTTGATGTTTAATTCAGAGCTAGCAGATGAGGCAACATTATTGCAGATTGGTGTAGTTTATATATTTGACATGTTATAAATGAACAAAACTATATGATTGTAGATTGTTGTAATTTATACATTGTAAAATCAAGTATGAATTATTAGATGAAATTCCAAATGTATACTCAACTTCTGCCGTATTATATGACTATGCACTTAGCTAGAAACTATCCGTTAAAATAAACTATACGACACAAAATAATCTACCAAAAGGTCGCAATAAATAGCTTACGTCTAAAGAAAACTAATCATAACATTAAAACAATCTTCTGAAAGAAACTTTTTGCCGCCCGGCGCTTGATACGGGTAACGGCTAGTATATATATATATATATATATATATATATATATATATATATATATATATATAGGTTCAAGTTAATTTGAGACAATACTAATTTTCTGAGACCGTAAGACCAAATCTAAAAATAATTTTAAAATGCAAAATAAAAAGAAAAATCCAAAAAATTCTATTTTTAATTACTATTTTCGGAACTTCATTTACCTAAAAAAAATAAAACAAAAATTACCGTTTTTTTTTTAAAATAGGTGCAATATTATAATAGAATATTATACTGTACATTTCTAATATGATTTTTAGAATGTTTAGAATATTATATTAGATTTGCTAGATATGTAGAATATTCTAAATATTCTACTAAAATATGTAAAAAAAATGTATTTTTTTGTATTTATTTTTTATTTTTTTGGTATTTTTTTTGGAAAATATATATTCCGAAAATAATATTGAAAAAAAAAATTCGAAAATTTTCAATTATTTTGCATTTTAAAAATGGTTTTGTTTTATCTACTAAATGAGTGGCTAGTATTGTGTCTCACGGTTTCAAAAAATTAGACCGTCTCACATGAATATATATATATATATATATATATATATATATATATATATATATATATATATATATATATATATATATATAATATATATAAATATATATATAGGGAAGAATTATTTGGAAAACAAAAAACCCTAAAAATCATAAAAATGTATAAAAAATACCAAGACATCACAATACTTTGTTTTGAATTTTTTTTATCAAAAAATCGCAACATTTTTAACAATTTTGCTGAAAAAAAAATAAAAAATCATTTTTGTTTCAAAAAAAATTCAATTTTTTTTAGCAATTTTGACCTAAAAGTTGCGATTTTTTGATAAAAAATTCAATAATATGTTTTGTGGTCTCTAAATATTTTTTTATGCATTTTAATGAGTTTTAGGGTTTTTTGTTTTCCATAAAACCTAAACCTATATATATATATATATATATATATATATATATATATATATATATATATATATATATATATATATATATATAGAGGGTAAGGTTGATGTGAGAATGCCTAATTTTGTGAGACTGTGAGACACATTTTATTTATTTTATTTATTTTTTTTAGTTAATTCAAGTCCGAAAATAATATTTAAAAAAAAGAAATTTTGGATTTTTTTCATTTATTTTGCATTGTAAAACTATTTTTTAGAATATGTACAGTATAATATTGTATTAGAATATTTTACGTATTTTTAATAAAAAAACGAGATTTTTATATATATATTTTTATTTTTTTAGTTAATTCAAGTTCCGAAAATAATATTTAAAAAAAGAATTTTTGAATTTTTCCATTTATTTTGCATTTTTAAATTATTTTTTAGAACATGTTAGTGTAATATTCCATTAGAATATTTCACGTACTTAAAAAAAAGATTTTTTTTTAATTTTTTTTTAGTTAATTTAAGTTCCGAAAATAATATTTAATTTTTTTTTTTGATTTTTCAATTTAGTTTGCATTTTAAAATTATCTTTAGATTTGGTATCACAGTCTCACAAAATTGGAATAATCTCAAATGAACCTGAACATATATATATATATATATATATATATATATATATATATATATATATATATATATATATATATATATATATATATATATATATATATATATATATATATATATATATTACATTAAGAATTTGTTCGTTCTTTTCAATATTAACATTTTTAAATATACTTTCCAAATTAATAGCTTGTTCTATTAATTTTTAAAATTAAAATGTAATACATACCTTCATATAATTCTTGCATAAAATTTTTAATTTAATTAATTCTCTACAACCAAATTTTCCTGTTCATTTTTTTTCCAAATCCCATTCGTACGAATTAACATCCCTCCTTAATTTCATCTATGTATTATTGCCTGAGATTCTGCACGAATTTGGCAGAGATTTATGTGAAGACCAGTTTGAACTTTGAACCATCTTCATTAAAATTCATCATCTACCCAGCACCAAAGAACTCCATCAGACGAATTCAGTCGTCGTATGCCATATTTACAGATCATTATCATGCAAAAAGCATCAGTGATTCATTATTCCATTAAAGCTCTTATCGCGTTATTAAATTCACCCAATTCGCTTTCAATTTCAAATATCTTAAAATTAAATTCATCCAACAAATTTAGGGTTTGCAGGTTTTGAAAAGAGGGAAGAACCGAAATTGAGTGTTGTTTTTCAAATTTAGGAGGTGGGTATCAAGTATTTCGCCAATTGAGTATTTTAATGAACCTGTTGACAACATAATTTCTTCTTTGTAAACCATTTTTTGAGGTTTTAACTGATTTTGTCTGTAATTTGTTGGATTGTTTGATTGGATTTTGTGCATGTGTATGTGTGTAAGTAACATTGGTTGTGACAGGTTTGTAGATATTGACAAAGGGAAAGAAGCTAAATGAGTGTTTTTTTGAAATTTAGGAACTGGGTGTGTGGCCATTTGAGTATCTGGTGACATCATAATTGCTACTTTTACAAGGATTTTTTAAAAAGTTTCAACTTCAATCGATTTTGTCTGGGATTCTTTGTTTGTTTGACTGGATAATGTATAAAGGGAGGTAGAAGATGATTGTGCTTTTTCTTGAACAAATTTGTTACCGAGTTTAGATTGTGTACATGTGGAAGTCTTTATGTTCTTTTTCTTTATTATAATTACTTATTATTTTCATTTCAAACTTCCCTCCTTTCCTGTGTTAGTTTATATATTTAAAACAAAATCACATAAATGATCCTTATGGTTGCTAAAAATATACATGAAATTTTTTTTAAGAAATTTTTAAGAAAATCTTCGATAAAATCTAAATATTTTGGTTAGTTTATAGTTTAATCTCAATATTTATTTTTTTAATAGAAAATTAATGATTATGTAATTTTATACAACAATCTATTATTTTCTTTTGGAAAAACTAAGGATTATTTTGTTAATTTGAACAAAATATAAAATATTAAAATAAAAAACTTTTTTATTCAAAAAATAAAATTTAGAATTAAACCTAAACTAAACTAAAATATTATGATTTTATTGGAGATTTTTCAAATTTTAAATATGATTTGATCATTTTTAGATTTAAAATGTATACCATGAGTCCTGCCAACACAAGGACAAATCATGTGTTTTTAAACCTGAAAATAACTTACTTAAAAAGACCCATCGTTTGCATGTTAAAACTTAAAAGAACTAAACATGTTAAACATTTCTCAAAATGATTTATAGTTGTATTTTCTGTCAACCAGGAGGACCATTTGTGTAAATTTGTAGTTATTTAAGGATTTCTTAGATTGAGGTTTTCAAAACAAGAAGTAGATGTAAGTAGAAGCATTTGGTTTAGTTTTTCTCCAAAATCTAAAACCAAGATGGTGTCTCTTTTTCCAACTTTTTCCTTTGTTTCTTTCTGCATCACCTTTTTGTCATGTAATGCAGTTCATCACGAGGTTATGTCAGAAATACAAGAATAAAAATTCAAAAAAAAACCCATACATTATCTCTCAAAAGAGTATTATTTTAAGGTTTGATACCTTTTTGTTTACATTTTTTAACGAACACCCTTTCTCTCTCACCACACCACCTCTCTGCATTTCCAACTTGTAAAAGATTCTAAATGTCCTTCCAAATGTTCCTTCACTGATAATAAACACTTGGCTCTTTTCTTTCACTAGTAAACAGTAAACTTATCTCTCTCGATAAATATCTCCTGTGTTTTGTATTTGAATCTCTGTTTCTCTCTCTCTAAATTTCCATTTTTGAATCTAGAGAAAGATATGGGGAAAGCATCGAGGTGGTTTAAAGGTCTGTTGGGTATGAAAGATAAAGAAAACGTAAACAATTTGAATTCAGGTGACCGGAAAGACAAGAAAAGATGGAGCTTCGGAAAACCCTTGAAGGAATCCCAGTTTCCGGCGCCGGTGCCGGCGAAGATGTCTAAGTTTAATCAGTCATCGGCAACAGGAGGTGACGCCACTTGGTTGAGATCTTACATGTCGGAGACAGAAAAGGAACAGAACAAACACGCAATTGCCGTCGCTGCCGCCACCGCTGCTGCTGCAGATGCCGCCGTGGCAGCTGCACAGGCCGCCGTGGCTGTTGTCCGGCTCACAAACCAGAGCAGAGGAAGCGTGTACGCCGGTGGAAAAGAAAAACGCGCCGCCGTTATGATTCAAAAAGTGTTTAGATCCCATTTGGTGAATAACAAATCCATCATTTCCCTTTCTTTGTTAACTAATTTGGTTTGAATTTGGATTCATAATCATGTTTTTTCGTAACTTTATCACAGGCTCGAAAAGCGTTCAGAGCTCTAAAAGGATTAGTGAAATTACAAGCTCTTGTACGAGGTTTTCTCGTAAGGAAAAGAGCAGCCGCCACTCTTCACAGTATGCAAGCTCTCATTAGAGCTCAAGCTGCAATCAGATCGGAAAGGGCTCGTCGTTCATTTACAAAAGATCACGAATTCCGCCATAGAAAATCCATTGTAAGCTTCAAATTTTCACTTTTGGTCCTCCATCTGTTACTTTTTTGACATTTTTGATCCTCCAGGGGAGATTTGAGATTGAGAGAAACGAATTCCATAGTAAAAGACTCTCAGCTTACGAATCTTCCACAAATTGCTACGATGGAAGTCCAAAAATAGTCGAAATCGACACCTACAGGCCACACACAAGATCCAGACGCATTAACACTTGTACATCTGATTCCGGGGAGGAATCACAATTCCATTCCAACAACATCTCGTCTCCCCTACCTTGCTCGAACCCCGCATGTATCTCAATTCCAGAGTTCCACAATCTTCAAGATTTAGAATGGGGATTCGCGGGTGATGAATACAAAGTCTCTAACACAGCTCAAAGCACTCCAAGATTCCGGTCGAATGCTCCGGCGACTCCTGCAAAAAGTGTATGTGGGGATGGATTTTTCCGGCCATATTCAAACCACCCAAGTTACATGGCGAGCACACAGTCATCAAAGGCAAAACTGAGGTCGCATAGTGCCCCTAAACAAAGGCCGGAATCAGGGCCTAAGAAAAGATTGTCTCTTAATGAAATAGTGGCGTCAAGATATAGTTTAAGTGGTTTAAAGATGCAGAAGAGTTGTTATCAAGTTCAAGAAGCTTTTGATTTGTGAGAGTGGTTTTGGTTAACGATTTAGATTATGAATGTGTTATTTCACCTCAATAGGATCAATTGCATAGATGTAAACAAGAAATCCTTTTTCTTGCTACTTCAATAGGATAGAAATTCGAACATGGGTGTTGTGTAAATTGTATTCAAGTGTTTGAGATTTGAATGAATGAATGAATGAATGAAGCTTTCTTGAATTAATGGGATTTTGTTTCTGGATTCAAATTTTGAGAATAGAACATAGAGGTTGTTTTTAGGGGTACCAAAAAGGTTCTTGCAAGCAATGATTAGGGGTTGATAGTATGGGATTTTCCTTAGTTTAGATCAATGTGCCCAAAAGAACACCATCATTTCGGCATTGGCTTGCATCATTATTGTACAAATTGGCTTGCATCATTCTTGTACTAGTTAAATTATAAACAAGTGGGTTTTCTTGAATCAAGAGTAAATTACAGTTTTGGTCCCTGTGGTATGCACCTTTATATAGGTTTGGTCATAGTTTTAGAAATTTTGCATTTATTCTCGTGGTTTGTAAACCCATAGGTTTTAGTCATTAACAATGTTTTAAAAAGCTCGTCATAACTTTATCATGGTGCGTTATGGCTCCAAGGTTTATATTTGTCACTAAGCTTTAATAAAATGTTGTCTTAAGTCATATATGTATATAAAAATGAATAATATTAGAAAATATATGAAAAAATTATGAATTATATACAAAATTTTCGCCTTAAGTCATACATTACATACGACATGGCTCGTCACGGTTTGAAAAAACTTGAGGTTTGACATTATCGTTAAGTCACGCTTTACGTTATTTAGAACCTTGGTCATTAAGGTGATTAAATGATTATAAAATATAACCATATTACCCCTCTTTTTTTTTTTTTTTTTTTTTTTTTTTTTTTTTTTATCTTTTCTCATATATTGTCATTATATAATATACATGGACCATTTTTGTAAATGAGGTGAAAGTAGAATAAGAGCATTGATTGATTAATCATCCTCGGCGTGACATGATACTTTGTCCCTCTCCCCGCTGCTAGGTTAAGAAGAAATGATAAAAAAACAGATATGAGGAATACAAGAAAAATACAGGAACGAAAATCAAATCAAAGCACACAAGACACAAAGATTTAAGTTGTTCACACTATCTTGCGGTAGGCTAAATCTACTATCGAACCAGAGAGAGATTTTATTCCACACACGTCTTTTTCTTCTATAATGTTACAAATACGGTCATCCATAAATATATATAAACGACAAGATTTGACCTAAACATCTAAAAAGCTATGCCCAACTAAAAACCAGAAAAAAAAAACCTAGAAAAAATTAGCCTGCCCAAAAAAAAACTAGTATTTAAAATTTCAGATATGATGATAAGTTTCCATATATAACAATTCCTACTTGAGGCTTGATCATCATTTAGCTGCCAACCAGGTTTGTATCCTTTGTAACTCTCTCTCTCTCTCTCTCTCTCTCTCTCTCTCTCTCTCTCTCTCCTTTTCAAGTTCTTGAAACCTAGTTGAAGCCATGCACAACTTCAACTTATAAGTTGGTACCAACTTAGTAAACATAGCAGTTGGATTCTTCGTACCAAATATTTTATTTAGATTTAGTGTACCATCAGTTATTAGTTCTCGTATGAAACGATATCGCATCTTTATGTGTTTTGTTCGGCTGTGAAACACAGGTTTTGTCGTGAGATGTACCGCACTTTGATTGTCACAGTGGAGAACACAGTCTTCTTGTTTTATTCCCAGTTCCGACAAAAAATTCTTTAACCATATCAACTTTTTGCTTGCTTCTGCAATGGCCATATTCTACCTTTGTAGTTGAGAGGGCAAAACTTTTCCAAAGTATAGACATCCAACTCACTACCTCTGATAGTGAAAACATATACATTAGTGCTTTTTTCCAAATCTGCACACCCCTTAAATCAACATCAACAAATCCTTCCAAATCCACTTTATTTCTGTTGAAACATAGAGCTAATTCAGCAGTACCTTTAAGGGAACACAACAACCATTTGACCCCTTCCCAATGCTTTTTACCTATATTTGACATAAATCTGCTCACAACTCCCACTACATGTGCAATGTCCCGTCTGGTGCACACCATAGCATACATCAAGTTGCCAACTTCTAACACATACGAGGTTTTAGCCATTTCTTCTTTGTCTTCATCCATCTTTAGGGATTGTTTCCTCGAAAATTTTATCTAACTTCCCAAAGGTGTACGTCTTGGTTTTGCATAAGTCATGTTGAACTTCTTTATAATCTTTCTGATATACTTCTGCTACGAGTGCTTTAAAGTTCCAACAACTCTGTCTCTGACTATGCTCATCTAGAGAATTTGTTTGGCAGCTCCTAAGTCCTTCATCTTGAACTCTTTGGAGAGTTGTTGCTTCAGTCTGTTGATTTCCTATATGTCTGATCAAACAACCAACATATCATCTATACATAAAGAATAATGTAAGAGGACTTGACTTCTATAGATAACAACAATGGTCCATCTCACATCTCTTGTACCCATTTTTATGCATGAAGCTATCGAATTTTAAATACCACTTCCTGGGGGTTGTTTTAGTCTATATAAACTCTTTTTCAGTTTAAAAACCAGATTCTACTTACCATTTACCAGGAAACCTTCTGGTTGGGACATTTAACTATCTTCCTTAAGGTCACCATGTAAGAATCTAGTCTTAACATCGAATTATTCCAAATGTAAATTTTCAGCAGCCATGATACTCAAGACTAACCAAATAGTAGTCATCTTCATAACTAGTGAGAAGATTTCATTGTAATCAACACCCTCCTTCTGTTGGCAACCTATTACAACTAGTATGGCTTTATACCGTTGGCTGCCATCAGCTTCATCCTTGATTCTGAACACCCATTTGTTTTGTAAAGCTTTCTTTCATACTGGTAATTTGACCAAGGACCAGGTATGGTTCTTGTTAAGTGAATCCAACTCCTCCTTCATGGTTTTTTTCTATTTTATAAAGTCTTTCAGTTTCAGCACCTTTGGATAAGATTCTGGATCTCCATTATCGATAAGTGACAAATAATTAGCTGATGGAGAATATTTGCTAGTTGGTCTCCGATCTCTTGTCGAACTTATGAGATTAGGAGTTTAACAACTATTTGATTTAGGGTTTCATTTTCTGACCGATCTGGGATTTTAGTTTCTGAGTCTTTATCTTCTTCAGAACTCCCACTGACCTCATTATTTATTGTCTCTTCAGCATTCCCACTATTTTGTGAGCGTTCACCAGTTTTCGTTTGTAAACATCAACATCAGTCAATTCTTCAAACATTACCTGCTGACTTTGTTTGCTTTTGCTTGGAGCTGTAGCTAGATCATATTTATAGAGGGCATCTTCACTAAAAGTGACATATCTACTCCTGATCTGTAACACTTGTTTATTTATTAGTTAAATAAATAAATTAATGGACGAATGGTAGCCTAAAATAAATAATTATATATGCGGGTTGTTGGGTTCGAGGAATTAATTGCCACATTTTTAGAAGTTAGGGGTTAAAAACGTGAGTTTGGGACTCATTTTATAATATTTATGAAGGCAAGGGCTCCGTGGTAATTATCAGGAATTATTTAAAAAGAAATGAGGTGGAGGGGCGGAATATGTTGTAATTAATACATTAGGGGACTGTGTGGTAAAGTGTGTACTTAAATTGTAAGGGATTTACATAGGTGAGGTTAAAAAGGTAAAATATGGATCTATTTCGAAATTAATTAGAGCTAGAGGGACCATTTTGGTAATTATGGAAAACTCTTATAATGGGATCGGGTATATAAGGTTATGTAACCCTAACCCTAAGGACCAGGTGTGCAGTCGTCACTCCCTTACCCCCCCCCCCCCTTATGCCTCCCACCGGCCGCCACCACTGAAGGATTATCGGAGCAGCCGCCATGTTCAGTCGCCAGCAGAGACAAAGAAGTCACGACGAGATCGGGAAATATGGTTCGTGGGTGCTTTTGTGGTTCGTGGGTGGTCAAACACTCTCTCTGTTCACGTCTCTTCTGCTGCTGCCCAAGCCTACGCTCGTCGCCGCCTTGCTGCTGTCGCGTTCGGTCATTGCTTGTTGCCAAGAAGGTTGTGACTGCATTTTCAGTGTCGGGTGTGGACTACCGACTCGCATCCATTCATGGTAGTCATGTGTGGTTATTTCACACATGGGTGCATGTGTTGTGTTGCTGAATGGTTGGAGGCCAAAAAGGAATCACCGCCACCACCGTGAGGTGGTGGCTATCCTCGTAAAACCACCCTTGCCGCCACCAAACGCCACCAAGAGAGTGGAGGTGCTCCTGTTCTGGGAAAGGGATATGCGTTGGTATGCTTTCTGTGGAAGTGTGTGTGTTCGGTGTGATTTGTATATCCGGAAAAGCAAGAAAAAAGGCCACCGCCACCACCATGAGGTGGTGGCTGCCACCTTCTACCACCACCAGCCACCATAGGGTGGTTGTGTGTGTGTTTATGTTGTTTAGTGTATGTGTTTCTTTTGAGTTTTAGCATTGTAAAGTGTAAATTACAAATTGAATAATGGAAAGAAACTAAAACCACCACCTTAGGGTGGTGGCCGCCGCCATCGGCCGCCGTGTCGGGTGACGGTGTGCTTGTCTTGTGAGTTGATTCGAATGGCGATGCTTGAAACCCTAATGGGCCTTGTTAGACTAATGGGCCCAATGAAGCCAAATGGGCTTAGTGAAAACCCTAATGAGTCTAATGGACTCTAATTGACCCAATAAGACCCTAACAGGCTTGATGACATTCTAGTGGGCTTGATAGGCCCAATAAAGCCCTAAATAACCTAAAAGTCCAACAAATTAATAAATGGGCTAGTACTTGGGTTGGAAAACCCTAATGCAATCAAAACCCTAATTTTGGAAATTAATCGGGACACACGAAAATTATTTAATAACTGGGGATATTAAATAATAATCATGGGCAAGATTAATCTAAGTGATAGTGGACTTACTGGATTACATCCTTAGAGGATTAAGTCCTTAATGGGTTAAGTAGGAAACTTAACCCTAATCATCATTTTATGTGAAATCCTAATTTCATTTGGGTTTATTATTGGGCCTTTCTATTGGGCCTGATGATTGGGTTGTTAAATGGGCCACCTAAGATCAAGCAAATGGACTAGAATAATTAATGGGCCTTGAGGTAAGGCTTATATGAGGAGTTGGGCCCAATTTGGAAAA